TCGACATCACTTTTGGAAGGCAGGAAAGGGCACCAAATCTGTATCGTAAATTAGGGGTGATAGGTGGCTTGAAAAAAATCAGAAAATGGCAGCGGATTACGCAAAAATGTGGCTATTTTTGGATGGAAATTGGGTGGGCGGAAATTGTGTGGTGAAAACGTCGGTTTTGTTCTGGCCAAAAGCAGACTTCTGAGCATTTGGATTCTCTCTCTCTCTCACTCTCCCTCTCCCTCTCTCCAATCTCTTTCCTGTTACTCGCATTAAAATGTAATTAATGCCCAAAAGGATAGGTTCCGAAGTCAAAACATTTTCGAGCGAAAGGTCGAAAGAGGCAGGAGAGAGAGAGAGAGAGAGAGAGAGCGAGAGAGAAAGAGATAGAGAGAAAAGATGAGAGAGTGACGCCGTGGCTGAGCGAAAGAAATTGGTGAAGAGTGATAAAGTTATGTATTTCGTAAGCCATATCCAACCCCTTTGCACGTTTGCAGGTAGCAACCGCTGACTTCATGCATTTCACCGGTCCACCCACCCCCGGATCGGCCATTCATCATTCATGGGAGCCCCCATCAAAACCGGCACAAGGACTCCAGTCAACCAGCCAGCAAGTTGGAGTAAAAGTTTTTTTGAAGCGGTCCCGACCCCTGGCCGAACAAAGCCGCTGTTCCCCCTGGTGAGCAAGAAGTCGAGAGCATACAAGGTCTTTTTGAGACCGACCAATTGGATCCAGGGGGATGGATGGAAACAGCTGGGGGCCTGAAGGGCACATGGAACGGATCGAGGAGGTGGGGATTGAGGGGAGAACATGCGATCATTTGTAGGTGCTAACCACAAGGAGAAAGAGAGAGAGAGAGAGAGAGAGAGAGAGAGAGAGAGAGAGAGAGAGATGGAGGGAGAGAGAGCCAGAGTGAGAGAGAGTGAGAGAGTGAGGGCGAGAGCGAGAGGGAGAGTGAGCGAAAGAGAGAGAGAGAGAGAGAGAGAGAAGAGAGAGAGAGAGAGAGAGTGACGGAGGGAGAGCGAGAGAAGCTTCCAAGAGGATCTCGGCTAGTTTGCCCGATTTCGAGAAATAAAACCGATCCTATCGTATGCAATTATTTTTGCTGGAAAAAACCTATCTTTACAAGTTGCGAAACGACCAGATACAGGTTATGAGGCTTTAAGGTGCATGAAATAGTTAAATACATGAATTTTTTTTTTCTTTGCTTGGCAAAACAGCCGTTAGAAGCTTAGACTTAGGCTTAGGAGCACGAGCTACATAAAATAAACTTGGGTCCCCTGCTAAACTCTCTGGACGCTCAAAGGCCCTACTTGAGGCAAGAAATGTGAGGTAGTCTAGGTAAGCATGAGGTATCTAAGCTAGTCAAATAAGTTCGCAAAGTTCCGAGACCCGAAAAACCCTTCATTTTTTTTGGGACCAGGTCAAACCCAAGGCCCGGGGCCCAACGTGAGTGTTGCGAGCATCCCTCCAAAGGGCCCCATGTGTTTGGTGGAACGAGGGGAGGTTGAATGCGGAGCGTGAGGTAGTGGTAGCAAAGGGAGGGAAGGGCATCCCTGATGAGCAGCTGAAGCCGCCACTAACAAAAAGTCTCGACCCCTCCTAGCTAGAGCTGGGGCGAATAGACGATTCTGACGGGGTGTGTCCCTCTCCCTTTTGGTGTCGTCCACCACGGCAGGACGATGTTATTAGATAACGGGATGGGAGGGGATGTGACGCCTCACTTACGATCTGGGATTTGTCGAATTTCGGCTTGGGATAGCGTGGAACAACAAGGGCAGCAGTGGTCAGTAGTCTGGACATGGGGACACGCGGGTGTTCCTAAGCGAGGAGTGCTTGGGCTTCGTTTTTGAGCTTCATTTCGGGGTTTCGGCTTTGACTAGCTTTTTTACAGCTTTGAGCTTTGCTTGGATTACATTCAGTTCCTAGGCTTACCTTAACCTACCCCGGTACCCCCTTAACCCCCCAAAAGTCCGCCTCCGTACTGGGATTGTCCAAAGTACTATTGGCCGCCAGCCCAGGGGCCCAGATTTTCAATTAAAGGGCGATGCGAGGACGAGCGTTGTGGCGGCCCGGAATTCGGCTGAATAATCGAAGGGGCGGATTGTTGCCCGGCTGGCACGAGGACAGCAGCTCACTTTTACGAGTTACCCGAAATTGTGTGGCGGGCCCAGGGGTCCAAGCAGCCAGAAGCCTCCCGCGTGCAAATTAATGCAAGATCGGAAGGATCGAGCATGAAATCGTGAAAATCGATCAAGAAACAGAATGATAAAAGAAAATTCCTGAACTGGAAAAAAAATAAAATTGTATGCAAAAATTCTGCCCAAGAAAGGTTTGGTCCCATTCCGAAGTTCGGACGAAGCTTAAAAAGGTCTCCTTGTAAGCAACCGAGCGCCGTGACAACAAAATCCATTGTACACCGTCGCGTCCCTTTAATATTACCGAAAAAAACACTCAGATGCCTATTCTACATAACTTAATTTACTGACTCAATTCGGGTCTCGAAACCCCTACGAAACCGACCAAAAACCGGTGTCGGGAATGTTCTGGTGGTCGGGGGGTTGGTTGCTCTCCGTCGACCCGTCACACGGCGACCCGTCAAGGGGGTCGGATTAAAATTCGACGAGGAGGGCTTCGGGGGTTCGGCTTCACGGATAGCTACCCAACAAAATTGAGGCCAGGGGGGTCGTTCATTTTTTGGGACTCATCAGGGTAAGGTCCCTTCCGGAAGGCCAGCTTAAAAAAATTGATGATACTCAAAAATCAAGGAAAACTCAAAAAATGACAGAAAATTACGAAAAATACGAATAAACTCTAAAAAGCAAAATAATTGATATATTTCGCATAATTTTGCCGTAAATTAAGATGTTTCGAGACGAAAATAAGAGAATTCGTGCTCTCTCTCGACTGGCTATGCGTCCTTTGCGCTTTTCCCCAGCTGAGAAACCCTGGAACCGAGCATAAGTTCCAAAAAATTATGGAAAGCCGGTGCACCCGACGTGTACCTTGGCACAAGAAAACACTTACATCTCTTGCCAACCCCTTCGAATTTCTCGTTTCAGCCGGAAGTTCCGGCTCGGGAGCAGGGTTGGACTGAAGCGCGTTTAGGCCTGATTAACTCCAGAAATTCTGATTTTTCTACGCAAGATTTCTACGCAATTACGCGAAATTCTACTCTTTCAGCCGCTAGGTCTTGACAACTAAAGATCCACAACACACCACGCCTGAAGTGGCTTTGAAAAGCTTGGCCTGCGTTTAGAGGCTTAGGCATGGGCTTAGGCTTAGGCCTAGATTTAACTCTAGACCCAGGCTTAGGTAGGCGTAGGCTTAGACTTAGGCGTGGCTCTGGGCTTAGGCTTAGGTTTCTGCCTTTGTAGAAGCCTAGCAATCAAGTACTATAGCTCTATTCAAAGGCTAGGATGGGCCTTGAACTTGAAACACCCGAAACGCAATCCTTCGACCGATCGTCGCTCAAAAATCGCCCACAAAAAGGCCCACAACGCGAGGAGGTGTTAAAGTCCAAAGCCTCAGAGGCACACTTAAAGGTGAGAGATGTCGACGAGTCGAGCCATCATAGCCCATCCACGATCATTGACACGAGACGTGTGATGGAGAAGCCGGGTGGATAGAGGAGAGAGGGGAGGTCCCCCTCAAGAGTCCCACAAAACAGGACATCACATTACACGGGCAAAGGAAAGGCGGGCAGCTCGTTTGAAAATACTTGGCAGATGCGAGGCGTTCCCAGGCCTTGGAAATATCAATCCCGACTTAGGATGCACTTTTTGCGGTGGTGCTAAGAATCCAATTACGGTCTTGTACTTAGTGGGGTTAAGAATCTTGTTGATGGGTAAGGGTTGATAGTAGAATGGCTATCGCTAGAGGAGGGAGAGAGAGTGTTAGGGAAGCGTGCCAAAGAGAGCGAGAGAGAGAGCGAGAGAAAGAGAGAGAGAGAGAGAGAGAGAGAGAGAGAGAGAGAGGAGAGAGCAGAGAGAGAGGGAGAAAGGGAGGAGAGAGAGAGAAGAGAGAGTGAGAGAGAGAGAGAGAAGGAGAGAGAGAGAAGGAGAGAGGGAAGGAGAGTGAAGTTATCTGCTTGGTCTAAACTAAAAAGCATACAATCAATAAATTGGCCTATTCCCAAAGTGGCCAAGTCGCTAAGAACCAACAGCAAACATCAAAAACCTCGAACCTCAGGCATGTTCTCCGCAGCCGCCACCCAGCCACTGCCCATTTCCGCCAATTTTGGAGCGACACAATGGGGCGACACGTTGAGGGCAAGGTAATTTTAAAAGTCAGTGAGTGTTCTTGACGTCTTTAGCGCTGATAAACAAATTTCGATGTGGGTCCTTTTCTCGTCAAAATTTGCATATTCAGGCCACTCGACAAAGCCGATCTATTAATGCCTGAAAAATGTACTTGCATGTTTAATTCGTGAACGAGCTCTTAATAAAATCCCTGATTTATCAAAATCTGCAATACAGTAATTTTTGGCAACACGCGCATAAGGGAACCCGTTGGATTGCAAAGAGCAAAAGCGAGTAGCATGGCAATGGGGGCAGGGTAGGGTAATTGAAGCACATAAGATCCCGAGCAGAATATATCACCTGTATTTGACATGGGGTAAAGCAGAGAACGCGAGAGAGAGAGAGAGAGAGAGAGAGAGAGAGAGGGAGATAGGGAGAGAGAACAGAGTGGTAGGTTACATAATATTAGGTAATGCATTGTTGCATTAATGGGAGGATGTGGGCAAGCTAGCAGTCATTTTTGGAGAAGCATAACTTTGGCATAGGCTTGGGCCTAGCTTACTACTAAATACTAATTCTAGAAATTTAATCGATTAGGTGGGCGACAAGTGGGGGTGGAGGCGGATGAATATCAGCTTCCGTCGTCACCACCGAACTCGAGGAGGACAACGAAATGCCGTGTGGATCCAGGGGTACACACTTTAGCGGAGACTCCGGAAGTCGACTCAGCCGGGTGAACGGTTGACCGGCGGGGCCGTCTGTGACTCTTATCCGGATTCCGGGCAGGTTTGAACTGAAATGATGCCTTAAGGGAATTCGTACGTTTGACTCCGTCTATTCTATGCTCCGGTTGCGCTACGCTACGATCGAAGGTACCGTATCAGGATTTGCGCTTACCTAGTGCCCGCATCACTACCCTCATTCGTCCGCTCCGTCATCGTCGAATATCCAAGATCCGAAACGGTCGGTGGACCCCTGGGTGCAGGTCTTGGAGACGGTGGCCCACCTCCAGATCTTTCGAAGGAAGCGAGAATCAGCTTTTCTGCAAAAGCTCATGCTCAAATGGTTCGGGATCAGGCGCTATGGCCCAACTTATTGATGCTAAATCCTGCTCACCTCGGCTCAGGCCCTCGTGATCGAAGTAGAAATCCTCGTTTGGCTCGAGGGTTCCGAAGCGTCCGCAGAACAGGTGCCGCCCTGGTCGCTGTTACAGATTCGGCGTTCGCGGAGGCGGTTGGACTAAAAAAAGAGTGTTAGGTGTGGCTCTGGCGCCATCTCTCTCACGCTCTGTCTCCCTAACTCCTTATCTCTCTGTCTCAGTCTTTGTCTCACTTTCTCGCTCTCTCTCTCTCTCTCCCTCTCTCTCTCAGAACCCCAAACTCACCCGATTTCTGTAGCAGGTAAAAATAGCGATCGCCAATCCGATGATCACACTTCCCACCAATGCTCCGATCAACGATACCGGGGTAGATGGCGTGTTCTGTGCGTCGCGTGACGCGTCGAGGCCGTTTGCTGAGAGACAATTATAGGGACAGCATCCAGTAACTTACTATTCAATACGCTTCGCCCCAGCATTCCTCTATAACATAGTGGAGTTGGTCGGCAAGATGGTTGGGTCAAGTCCATTCCTTTGGGTTCTTGTTGGCACCAGGTACATCCCGGGCGCAGGTTGCAGCTTGATGGTGAGTGGAATTGGGGGCAACTAAAATGGGGTATGATTGCGAGAGAGAGAGCAGAGAGAGAGAGAGAGAGAAAGAGAGAGAGAGGAAGACAGAGGAGATAGAGCAGAGAAATAGAGAGAGCAGACAGAGAGAGAGAGAGAGAGAGAGAGAGAGAGAGAGAGAGAGAGATAGGAGAGAACTAGTCTAACCCTACCTGATCGGCTGGCACTCTTCCAAGTAGTGCGGGGCCTTAGCGTAATTTGGAGGGTATGGTACTGCATCTGGGGTACAGAGGGTAGTCGTTTTATGAACGTCCTTGGGTCCTAAACGGGACTTGAGGGTTGTAGAAGAAAGGTTTATGGCTTTACAAAAACTAGCTGCAGCTCCCACTCACCAGCATCACACGCCGAAGCCCGGTTGGGACCACATTGACACGGGCACTCGCACTCATTCTCGTCAAAACGAGCACAAAATAGGCACCGGCGATCGGAGACCGAGCAGGGGCAGAAGTGCTGAAAAGGATTGTCGTCATTAAGGTAACAAATTCGTTTGCGTGCGTTGACCAACGCACTTGTCGAGACCTAGTCGAGTCAGGTGTCGATTTCCGCACCTCGAAAGGGCCTTTAACGTTGTAATCCTTACCCCAGCTTCCTTCCTCCTAACGCAACTCGTATTGATGAGCGCCAAGAAGACGTCGGTGTGTGGTACGAGCACCACCTCGGATTGTACCTGAGGCCGAGAGAGCGGTGGAAGGGAGGAGCACATTTTCTAAATTCTGTGTTTAACGCTACTTTCAAAGGGCTACCGTATCCACTCGGCTGTACGACGTATTGAAACGGAATCGGTGGTGCGTGTGTCCGCTGGTAGAACGGCACTCCTCCTTCCTGAAGATGTGAGGCGCGGTCAGGAGATGGGAAGTTAGGGTCGGATCGACGTGGGCGAGATGGTACCTAGAAATTTAGTCTGCGTTTTGAATTCAAAGGGGACCTCAGAGAAAGCGAGAAGTAGAGAGAGTGGGAGAGCGAGAGAGAGGGAGAGAGAGAGAGCAACGAGGGAATAGATTCGTGAAATGTGAGAGGCGCCTCAAAGAGTTTCTGTTAGCCTACCGTTCAACGGCATCAACCGATAGTGTGTGTAGCAACTCTGTAGGCAGAGCTACAACATTTCCGATAGAGGTGAGAAGAAGACAGCGACGGCCCTGGAAATGGAATATTTTCTACATGCTTGTAATGGACTATTTTTCTATGGTGCTTGAAAACCTAATTTTACGCTGGGTTTAAGCAGCTGAAAGCCCTTCTAATTTTCTACGACATATACCTAATCCCCACCTCGCTACAAGCCGAAACCGTCCTTTGCATGACGTGCTCCAGAAAGTTGAGCGTCACCTCGACCCCGACGACGAACATGTCCTAAGAAAAGTTCAAGTAGAAGGGTTTGAGAGAGATTGGTTATAGAGTGAGAGAGAGAGAGTAATAAAGAGAGAGAGAAAAGGAGAGCGAAACACATCTCAAATTTTTACCTGTTGCCCATACGATAGTACTGTCGATAGGACCACAGTATCCCCGAGTAGTGGATCGGCTATTGGGCCGGTGGTTGCCAGTCGTTTTGGGTTCTCTAGGGCTTTTTGGAACCAGAGTTGGGTTCTTGGGTCGTGGGACTCGTCGAGGACGACGGCCGGGTAGGAGACGAGGAGACCACGACGGGAGGCGACGAAGCGACGGATTACGACGGGATCGTCTGAAAAGGTTTAGGTTTTGGTTTCGGCTTCAGCTTAGGGCTCGGTTTAGGCTTAAGCTTAGACTTGGCTTTGACTTAGGCTTAGGTTTAGCCTTAGCCTGAAGTTAGGCTTAACCAGCTTTTTGATGTTAACATCGCTCTAAAGCCTACATTCAGCTTCTATCCACAGTTTCGCGATGGCACCCATCATCCCAGCTTCTTCCCGGACTCCCGATTTTATAGCAGATGATCGGATGACCCCGATACGATCGTTAATATAAACCTAAAGTCGTGGAAAATCCAGTTAACTATCTTGGCTAACTTACCCAGTAGTTGTTCACCAACTGCTCAGTCGGATCAAGCCGACGGGTCAACGGCTCAAAAGCCGAGGAGGGGAGGAAAAGGGAAGCTTTTCCCTTGACGGATAGCGCTCCGTGAAATCCGCAATGGTGATGCAGCTCGCGCTATGGAAAGTATTTTATCAAAAGTTTAAATTCCAGTTACCTGAAGATCAAATCGATTGTACACCAAGTGCTCCAGTTTTTCCGTTTGTCGCTCTTGCAGTTCCTGGACGTGAACGTGTGCCGGAAGTTTCCCTTCGATGTACCCGACCGCAAATATTAGGCCTCTTTTGAGCTATAGATTTTCTAATACAAATCTTACTAAGGTTTAAGTACCGTTTTCCAAAGATATCTGCGTTTTCCGGACGGTGTAGGCATTGTAAAAACGCCGTGTTTGGCGTGTGGCACCTGAAAATTGAATAGGTTAAGCTTATGTTTAAGCTTAGGCTTAGGCTTAGGCTTAGGCTTAGGCTTAGGCTTAGGCTTAGGCTTAGGCTTAGGCTAGGCTTAGGCTTAGGCTTAGGCTTAGGCTTAGGCTTAGGCTTAGGCTTAGGCTTAGGCTTAGGCTTAGGCTTAGGCTTAGGCTTAGGCTTAGGCTTAGGCTTAGGCTTAGGCTTAGGCTTAGGCTTAGGCATAGACTTGGGCTTGGGTTTAGGCTAGCTTTTAAGCTTAGTCTTCGGCTTCGGCCTGGGCTTCAGTCAGTCCTAAGCTTTGGCTTAGGCTTAGGCGTAGGTTTAGGCAAAAGCTTAAACTTACCTTAAAAGGTAAAGTGCCGTCCGGACTTGTCCATAGGTCCAATTCGTTTAGCTTTAAGGTATCGATTTCCGATTTTCGGCTTGAAGCCACCACTTTTCTAAAAAAATTACTTTAAGCCAGTTTTTTAAAGAAATACCCTTCCTCCGTCAGCAAATATACGTGAAGCTCAGCTGCCGCATTCACATAAAGCACCAAATTATGGCTGATGGGCTGGTCGAAAAGTATGATGCCGTCAACTACGGCTCCAATTAACGCATCGGCCGCTCGTTCGTAGATCGTAATCTAAAGGAAATTAAGGATTTCTATAGATTTTTTAGACCTTCTGGCCCTCTATGCTGGATTGCAGAGATTCTTGTGGAATTGGGTCGTTGAAGTCGAGTAGTTTTGCAATGTATTGGAGTGGCCAATCGTTTGGGTTTTTGACGCTGAGCACGGTTAACTAAAATTTTCAGTATTTTCGTCTCTATATCTCTCTCTCCCTCTCTCTCTCTCTCTCACTCTCTCTCTATCTATCTCTTTTTTTGACTCTCTCTCACCTCTCCTCTCCCAGAATTCCCCTCCGATCCGTTCAGTCGATTTTGCACCTCCTCCCTCATCGACTGCTTGTACCGCCCGAAATCGAGTTCCGCTACGCTCCGCAAAAATTCCTTTGGCCACAGTAGTTGAGCCCCGTTTTCTAAAAAGGACTTTACAGACTGAATTCACCAAATTACCCTCTCCAATGGCAAAAGTATTGACGCGGAATGGGTAGGGGAGGTCAAGGTATCGGACAGCCAACACTTCAAGGGTTTTCATAGCTTCAGACATTTCGGAGAGGATTCCGCGGGAGATGTACTAAAGATGATAAAAAATTTTTGGTTAGGAAAAGGTAGTTTACATGTATAATATGCTTCGTGTTGTTATCTTCTTTCCAGACGTCAGTGGCTGATTTCATCAATTCGGGATGGGAGCTGCGGACCTTGCCTTCTTCCGGGATTCTAAAACATGAATTTATAGTTCACTCTCTTCTCTCTCTCTCTTTTTCTCTCTCTCTCTCTGTCTCTCTCTCTCTCGCTCTCTTTCTTTCTCTTTCACGACTTTCCCTTACCTCAAGTTCTTCACAATCTCTTGCAGATGAGTAATTGACGAACTGCAATGCGTTTCCAACCCTATAAAGCTAATTTTTCGCCTTTGGTAAAATTTTTCTGACCATGATTAGAATTCGCAACAATCGAATATCGATCCCCGGCCAGCGCCACGTCCAGCAAGGCCTTAGCAGTTGTCTTGACTTGCTGCAGCTCAGCGTCCGTGTGCAAGTCATCTAAAACAACCACATTTTGGCATCCGAAATTTATAGAATAATCCACAACGCCGGCTCTTAGCCGTAGAAATCTACAAGCAACAAGTAGTGACTTGTCTGTTCCATTAACTTACTCATATCCATTGCAATCACGACATCACGACGAACACCTTGATGTAGCCCGGAAAGGATTTGTCGCCAATGTTGGGCCCTGAGAGATAATTTTAAGCTTTAGGAAGCTTCCGGACAGACTTACCGATCCGTAGATGATCTCCTGGGAGGACATTCTGACAGCTGGTTAGAATTGTAGATGAACAAGGATTGGACGGCCGGGTTGCGGAGCAGAAGCGTTGTGGCTGGAAAGCCATAATTACTTTATCAACCCCTGTCTCTCTTGCACTCTTTCTCACGCTCTCTCTATCTTGCTCTCTCTCTCTCCACCCACCATTTCGATCGACCTCAAAATCTGCTTCTCCCTCAACTGTCGGGCAGCAATTCGAAGCAGAAGTCGGGAACAAAAACGAGTTCACCAGCTGTCCGCAGCTATTGCCATCCTTCTCCGACTTGACGGTGACCTTCTTGGCGATGTTGGCTAGCTGTTGTTTCTGGAGAATCAAGATATACAATCAAAATTTTATAGTCTTACGATATCTAAAAATCTCTCGTCCAATTGTTCGGCCAACTCGTCGAGAAAAGCCTGCGGTTTCAGGTCGACTTTTTGGAAGAGCGGGACGGTGATGTTGTTCTGGAAAGGGGTTTAGGCATCAAAAAATTAATTTTTATCATTTTAATATGTTTCGCTATGTGCTTTATATAGACTTTTAATGGGTTCTTAACTTTTATAAGATTTTTATTGCTGTTTTTTTTGTCTTATTTGATGGGCTTTTATGAGTATTAAACATATTGGTCTTGGTCAAAAATCTTAAAAAATCATTTTTTACTCAAATACAGTGTTTAGTGAATTTTACCAGTATTTGTATACCCACCTGAGCCCTCGGTATCTGCAATAAATCATTAACCGTCCCGCGTAACGCTCTGCTCAACGCATCGGCCGATAAATGGGCCCCAATCGAAAAATAGTCATCGGCCAAAACATTTTCTGAAAGAGTTCTTATTATTTTGTAAAAAAACCTACCAAATAGCAGTGGCAGCGAAAGCAGGGCCCGGATCCACATTTTAAGGAGCAAAGGTATCGAATTAGCTGGGCATTATGAGCCTCGAAAAACCCGGGGCGGGAACGTTTAGGTGGGGGCCGGGGGGTGCTCGTAAAAGTTTATCACGGGGAGGTGCCGAGGGGCCAATAAGAATAATGGTTCCCAAGAGAGCGTCCGATCGCTGTGTCCAGAGGAGTGCCGTGTAGCCTAGTGTCCTGACATCTGGCTGCTTGGGACAGCTGATTGAGAATTGAAGGAGTTTTTGAAGGAAAAGGTGCCTTGCAATGAACGGAATTTTTAAACAAGAGGAAAAATTTTAAAATGGGAAAAATCGAAAGTGGAAAAATTAGCAGGTTTAGAAAGACTGAGTTCAATATGGCGACGGTAATACGGTTGATTACGGTAATCACGAATCTGCAGGACTTACCGAGAGAGTAGTTTTGGAGTCCAGGAAAGGACCCAATCTTAAAGGGCTTGGGAAGTACGAAACATGACATTTTCTATGCGTCTTTTTCTATTCGCCTTTCTTCGTCTCTCTCGCTCCGTCTCTCTCGCTCTCTCTCGCGCTCTCTCTTTGTGTCTCTCCCTCTGCCTCTCTATTCGTATCTATCTCACTCTCCGTCTCCCACTCTCGCTCTCTCTATCTCGCTCTCACGCTCTCTCACTCCCTCACTCACTCTCTCTCTCTACCCAATCGACGGAAGATGTGGATCTTCACGCTTCCTGGCCCCATTAAAGTTTGTAATCACTTGGTCCTCTCCTTGAGCTTTGGTTCAGGCAACTGGTTCAGTCTCAAATCATCTTTACCTAGCTTTAGCGTCCCTTTAAGCGTCAACTTTACTGCTTGTAGTTCTATTCTAAGGACCCGATCTAAATGGCACACACATGTTTATCGGTAGCTCGCGTCTTGAGGGGCGATCGCTTTGGCGGCTTCAGTGGAACCACCTGGAAGGGGTCGTGGAATGGAGGGGATCGAGGGATGGAGGGATGGATGGCCCTTCCCAACAACAACATATCGCTAAATAAGCAACCACTCTGATGGGGTGGCTATTAGGGGACTGGAGGGTCGGTTTGTAATCGGTTAATTTTGCGTCCGAAAGGTCTGCTTCCTAAAAGATCTATGCTAGTTGACTTGATCTTGCCCTGGATAGTCATTTAATAGTCTGTTTATTTTAAACCAGTGGAAAAAGACCGCTTCGCGGCCCTTTCCCACTGGCCTCGTCTCGTATATATTCCCCTTCCGTTTTTCAAAGCCTGCGGCGCAATAGCCTGACTCTAGGAACCATTCTCTGGCCTGCGGCGCTAGCTACTGGTTTTTCTCCAGCATTTGGCCTGCGGGGCTAGAGCCCGGGCCAAGAACCTTTTCTTTGGCCTGCGGCGCTAGAGCGAGGGACTGGCCGAAATTTCGGATACCGAGAGCCTCGAAATATGTTTTGTTGTTGAACTATCAAAAAGCAAAAAGGTACGGTCGCCGAGGATCCGAACTCTCGACTATGCGCACGGTAGAGCGGGCGCCAAGCCACTATACCAAAGGCGGCATGGGGACGGGTGGCGGGAAAGGCCTCTTCTGTCCTGGGGGAGGCTGCAACCCGGCAGGGAGGACTTCTGGTAACTTTACAAAAATCGCTATTTTAGACTGATTGCGCCAAAAATTTGTAAAGATAATAAGATGCGCGTGATCCCCACTATCGTATACATAAGTGTTCCAAATTACAGACCGAAATTCCATCTGTGCATTGAGGGATGCCCCGAACACCACGGCCGGTCGCCCATTTTGTTAAGATTTTCACCATTTTGTTTGTAAAATCGTTAAATGAAGGAATTTCGAAAAACAAAAAAATGCGGGTCTGGCAAATGCATTTCTCCGCCTCCATGCCAAAAATCAGCGCGAAATTCGGCCTGACGGCCGAGAAATCGTCATTACAGAAAACAAACATACTTTTCTCGCTTATAGGATAGGATACCTTGAATCGTCTAGCCTTTAAAAGGACATGAATTTAGATTTTTTCGTGTGCGTAAAATTTGCGTTTTGCGTTCCAATACGTGAATGATGGTTTCCCAAAGAATCTATGCTGGCTGATCTCTCTAAGCGCAGCCTTCACCAACCCTTGAAAATTGCTATCACCTGGGACCAGGGTTGGTCATTTTCGGATCGGACTGGATCCGGATCTGGATCCGGATCCAGATCCAGGGCGGATCCGATCCGATCCGGGTCCGTCGGTGAATAACCCTGCCTGGGACTTACATTCGCAGACGCAACGCTCAGCCGCTATCTTCGTGAGGTTATTGCAATCGATTAGAAAACCAAAAGGTCACGCGCGTTGCGTGTCGCGGGCGAAATTCTTAGTCGTACGTTGCCGGTCGCTTCGACGGTCGGTACGTTAGATTTTTTCACAAATTTTTTTCCTGCACGGCGCGTTGCGTTGCGTTTCGCGGCATGGAAAAACTGGCAGATTCCATAATCAATCCTTTCCCATCCCTTTAATACCCTTTTCGGCTCCATTTCCTACCCTAACCTCTCTCGAAATTGGCATTCCCACTCAAGAGGACAAGATGGGCCCAAAGCCCTATCAGGTGGATTGGGTCATCCACCCCGAAGGGGCCCATGAAAGGGTCCCTGTTCAACTTTTCTGATTGCTTTCGATGGCCGAATGGCTTGCGAGCCCTGGGGCAGGCCCCTTGAGACCCAGCCTGGGCCCTTCCTATGGGGCCTATAGGGCCAATCCCCTTCTAGCCACCCGGCGCAGTCCACCTTAATCCCCTCCCCCCATTCCACCGTTGTGATCTAATATTCCCCCTTTGGCAAATAAGTTCCCGGGCTGGGCATGGATCGACAAGGTGGATATAGACTCCCTTGCCTGGACGTGTTTTTGGGGGCCTTTTTGAAATTGTTTCGGTTTGAAACCGCAAGTTGAATTACGGTAGCTTGGAATTTTTGCTGTTTCTATATATCTCTCTCTCTTCCTCTCTCTCTCTCTCTCTTTACCTGTGTCTCTTCTCCTTATCTCGTCATCTCTCGTTTGTCTAAAGTCTTTCAAGTTCTTTAGTCTCACAAGCAAATCACCTGCGCCCGAGAGAGAGAGAGTGAGAGAGAGTGAGAGAGTGAGAGAGAGTGAGAGAGTGAGTGAGTGAGAAAGAGAGAGAGATAGAGACAGCGAGAAAGAGCTAGAGAGAGCAAGAGTACGCGAGAGTGAGCGAGTGCGGGAGAGAGTGAGAGCGAGAGCGGAGAGAGCAAGAGCTAGAGAGCGAGAGAGCGAGATACAGGGAGTAGCATCTGTGTGGGGGAACAATCCTATATGCTAAAAATAGATACCTTACGAGACTTTTAAGCTGCATTGCGTGTTGCGTCACCCCCAATCTAATGCGACAAAGCCCATAGACACGCCTTGCCGGCTCCTTTAATTCTAATTCCCTGATGTTTGTCCACCCCATTTGCAATCTCTCTCATTCTATATGGGTGTGTATATCCGGGGTCTCATTAGCCAGCAGCTCAGTGACTACAGGGCCCTGGGCCCCAACGGATTGCCGTGGTAACCGCCTCTCTTACCTCAAATCCATTCTCACCCGGCCTATCCATCCGGCCTGTGGGTGGCGGGCTAGGGGATAAGCCCGCATGCCCGAACGGCTGATCCGCCCCCAACAAGACATTCATTTCGGCGGCTAAAAGCTTCTTGATTCTTTCTATTTCCAGACGGCGTTGGATACGGTAGCCTGGGGCAAGCTTTAGGTTGGATACGGTAGTCTGATAAATCTTTGAAATGTTAATTTTTAAGGTCAAAAATTTTTGTCTAGTAGAATCTGTATATTTAGGACCCCAGAAGGTATGAAACACCTTCGGGTGTTTTAAAATTATCATATTTTTGGGAGAATTGTTTTCTTTTTCTGTCTTTTCTATGTGGTTTCTGGGAATGGATATGGTAGCTAGGAAATTCATTAGAGCTGTTAATGGATTTTCCGTATTTCAATAAGATATGATTGGTTTTTTTTGTAGTTTTTGATCGCTAATACGCTATAGAAATATAAGAAAAATTGCAGAAACGAACCATTTTGGTTCATTTTTCCACACATTTCGATCAGAAAAAGGCAAACATAAAAATTTTAATTTTTTCTATATAGTTTTTCCATTTGAAAACTGCATAAAATGGTGTGGAAAACGTCCGCGCGCTATTTCGCTGTGAGACCTTACGAGATTACTAGGAAAAAATGGTTTCGCGCGCTAAAAATCCTCCCCCTAACAGTTCAGTACCGCTTAAGCACAAGTGCAGGCTTCAGCAGGCTAGATTTGGACTTATGATTGGATATGGCCTAGCTTTGCGATATGGTTAGGCCTTGCCGGAAGCTCATGCTCATTGTCGGATCGTGGGAGTTTTGGGTCTCGGTGACGTTTGACTTACAACGCCTGGGGGCCTTGGCCAGGCATCGTTTACCCTTGGCCCGGGGCAGAAGTCTACACGACTTCGCTGTCAAAGATTTCTGATGAAAACCCCTAACTCTAAATTTTCAGCCTCCTTCTACCATCCTTAATTAGTATCACCTGTAGTCTCGACAACTGGCAACTTCCACTCGGCTTTTTGCCAACAGCCTAGCGCACTGGAACGCGTTATCAGCCGGTGGCTACGAGAGGAACGACTGTAAACGTCGCTTTTTTCGTTCGTTGAAATGTTTATGTTCGTTGGAGGGGAGTGGGAGACCAGGGGTATGTCTAGTCGCTCTTTTTCCAGCCCCCTTGCGAGAACCATGTCCCTTTTTTGCACTCATCCTATCTTTATTTGACCCCATCCGCCTGTATTGAGTGATTTTTTTGTTGGATTTTTGTTGTGAAATCGTGCTTTTGCTCTTTATGATGATGCACTCTAATTTTTCCAATGAATGGCTGAACAAGGACTTTTTTTTGGCATTCTGATAGCAATGGATGTCGGTAGATCTCTCTAGTTTTAATTTGCATCCCGTGGACGCGAGACGTCCCGACAAAATCTCTAATTCTGCCTTGTCTGGCCATCAAAAGTCGATTTTCAAGTCAAGAAAAAAATGTAATGGTACAGGTCGGTATTTTTTGGTGAAGTTGACCGACAGAATGAAGACTTGTGACCGTCGTAATGCCAAACTTTCATAATATCGAAACGTAAAAATGCCGAAACTTGCGCTGTCATTTTAAATTGCCGAAAAATCAGTCTTTGCTTCCTAATATCGAATTTGATCTTGCCGAAATGTCGTAATGCCGACACCTTAGCAGTCTGATTGCACTTAGTTCTTAGAATGCCGAAATTCATAATGTCAAAATCTCATAAAGCCACAAAAGCTTGAATTGCGAAATAGCGAAATGAGGAAATAATAGTCGAATCTGGAAATCCTAATTTTTGCCATTATGGCAGTAATCAGACAACCGGCCGAATGTCACTAAAATAGCTCTGTATCCATCGATCCATTAATTAGCCCAACCAATTTGTCGATCGTTTTTCTATTGCCCGGTGTCGCATTAGTGAGGGGATAGGAAGGAAGGAGGAGAAGGAGGACGAGATGGAGATTGAGAAGAGACGGACACAGGTCGAGAGGGACTGGGAATGCACATGGCAAAGCAAAACCCACCCGTTGAGGGGGGTCTGTCGATTCGCATCACTCACCACCGCTTCTTCGTCGAGAACGACGGAAATTGAGCTGAGGAGCCTCTTTTACCATCATCAACCCGGCCAGAAATACCCCACATTACCCTAGACACCCATCTCGAATATATACCCTGAAATGAGGTGGCCGATTCATCAAGTCGCGAAGGTTAGGGTCAAAATTTTGGGTTTTATTCCGTTGGAATCCTATTCCCGGCCTTGGGTTTAGCGGTGGGACACCATTTTGGATAGACGGTCTGATACCTTGCTTTTCCTGATGCTGGCAATTTATCGTTCTTTAACCTCAAATTTGCATATATCTCCCTCTCCCTTATGATTCATCACGGCCTCTCTCTCTCTCGCCATCACTCTCGCCATCACTCTCGCTATCTCTATCTCTCTAGAGCACTCTCGCTTTCTCTCTCCCTCCACCGTCTGTTTTTTTCTTGATCATCCACGTTCTTAAATTCTCCCCCTCGCTCTCATGCGTAAATTTGTTCTGTTAATTCGATCCCAATTTTAGAATAGCATCCACACTGGCAGGTCTGTGTCCGGGGGCGTTGGAGGCGGCGTCGGTGTCGCTGATGGCGGCGGCCCTTCAGCCTGCCCTCCATTTCCAACCGTTTCTCCACCATCCACAAGCCGCCGCGCAACTTCCGAGGCCGAACCAGCAGCGATTAAAGGTACGCTCGTCGAAGTTATATACTAGAAATTTTGATTTTTTTTGTCTAAAACCAGCTGTATTTTGATCCAAGCATATTTT